CATTACTTCGGTTTTGAGTCGAAACTGTGCATGTATGCATTACTTCGTTTTTCTCATATGCGTTATTTCGGGTTTCAACCGAAACTGTGCATATATGCATTATTTCGGTTTTTTTCGTATGCATTATTTCGTATGCACAGTTTCCATATGCACAATTTCACGGTGCCGTATGTAGTTGCGCGTGTTTCTACAATCGGACCACGGCAACATAGAGTCTATCGGTATCAGAGTGCGGTTACCCACGAACGTGTCCGTAGCGTAGCGTAGAAGTACGTTGAAAGATATCAAGTATGCTGTTGATAGAAAGAGAGAGAAGCAACGTCTACGCCACGGTCATGCGGTGGTGAGTTTTTGTTAACATGCAGATCCCATAAGATAGATCGTGTCAGCTGACACGTTCTCCATTTTTACGTCCGTGAGTAACTGCGCTTTCAAACTTAACCAACTTTATTTTCGTTGCCTTGGAGAAATAATTATACGTCCTCCACCTATATTTACTTGATTTTAAACATTTACAATTTTAGACATCGTCTTTTCTAAACATTTTGAAAAAAAATTTTCATAAAAATAATTTTGGCCGCCTAAATCGCCAAATATCCCTATGTGCAACGCAGAGGAGGCCTTCCTCTTCCTCTGTTACCAGCATCGCGGCCCGCGTTGAATATTTTCAGAGCAGGAGCGTTTCTGTCCATTCGAACGACATGGCCAAGCCAGCGGAGCCGCTGAATTTTAATTCGCTGCACTATGTCTATATCGTTGTAAAGCTCATACAGCTCATCGTTAAATCGTCTGCGATATTCGCCATCACCAACGCGTAAAGGTCCGTAAATCTTTCGCAGAATCCTATTCTCCAAAAAATCCAAGAGCCGCTCCGGTCCATTATGAACATTAAATTCCAATTTTTAACCACTGTGTGCTGGCTTCGTCGTGCAGTATGAATTATGGTAAACGCATTTTGGTAGCAAAGGATGGCGAAGTCCTTGAAAAGGATTTGGCTTGATTTTTCGCTACAGCACGGGAACTTGTACAATTAAATAATATAATTAACTGGTAAATATTTAATTTAAATTACGATATGGGTAAGGTTATTTTATCACACAAGTTGTATCTACGAATTCCCAAATCAGTTTGAAAAAAAATTTCCTTTATTTTACGTTGGTTAATATGGTCACCGTGTCTAAAACTAACAATGCTGCCAAAGTTTTTTTTTTAACTTTATTCGATGTTGTTAAAAAGTTAAGCACTTTGAACAAAAGGAAACAAATTATGCACCTCAAAATTAGGTAGATTTCGCGCCTCGTGCGGTAGATGGACAAATTTTTAAAAATATGCGGCGAATCTAACGCATATGCGGTAGAAGTGTGCACACTGGTGAGGAGAACTTCTGGCGTTTGGAAGACGATGTTTGTAGTTGTCCTTAAAATATTTACATATACAGCGTGGCGACGAATAACTGTTACCCAGGTTTTTTTGAGAAATAAAAAGGTCCTTTATAGATTTTGCAAAAAAAGTATTTTCTTGTTAATTTTCCACAGATTTTACTTTAGTTGTATTAATTAGTTTTTAAATTTTAATCCTTATTTACATTTGCCAGCAGTGTAAACTTTGAGAGAAAAGCTCATTTGGCACGCAGGTCTTCGTCAGTTAATTTATTCCATATCTTCTGTAGCCATAGGCAAATTTTCTCCATTTTGAGTCCCTTATACTCGTCCTTTTGTCCAACATAAGGCCTCATACTCAAAAATCGTTTTTTTTGTATTTTTTTTATACAAAGCCTAAGAAAAAATACACCTGAAAAATACTTGCGTGCCAAATGAACTTTTCTCTCAAAGTTTAAACTGTGGGCAAATGTAAATAGGCATTAAAATCGGAATCAACCGAACACAAGCAAACGCGACGCGATAAATTGGAATGTCAACAGCTGTCAAAAGCCTACAAAGCGCTGTCGAATAGAGATTTCGGCTATTCGAAACTTTAAAGCGCTTCAAGGAAATGAAGTAAAATTGCCAGTAGGCCAACTTTCGTACATTTTAGTAGATTTCAAAAACTTTTTGACAGTTCTCAAAGCAAAGCAAGGTCATCAAAAATGTCATCGAAAAAGTTAGGTTTTAAGTTCAAAATTATCTAAAACATTACACGAAGTTAGTTAGCTCTGTTATGAGTCATAACTTATGACGAAGCTTTAATTGTACGCAAGTGTATTTGCAAAAAATTAAGATTACAATAAAACCCGCTTAAGTACCTCACGAAAAATGTCAGCGTTTTGAAGAGAACCCGCTTAAGTACCTCGATGCGGGTACTTAAGCGAACATAATTACTGATGTAGTTAATTCTTCTTATTAACTTATATAAATACTTGATTAACAACATTTATTGAAGTATATATAGTTTAAAACCAACATCGTAGCATTATTTAAACATAAAAACAAGTAAAGAAATAGTATTTAATTAAAAAAATAGATATGGTATGTCATTTTTACAAGAATTAAATCGTATAAAAAGTCAAAGTTGGACATATCATTTTGTACCAAATTCCAAATGATATTGGTTGCCACTTACGTTTATTTAGTTATTAATTTTTGAGATTTTTCAATCGATTAAAATACAGTTCATTCGCTAAAAAAATACCATATAAACTTAAGCTTAAGATTTTGTAGAACACTTAAAAAAATGCATCATAATTTCAAACTTTTTTCTCAGAACTGTTTTTTGAGTATACAGTTTTATAGGCCATTCAATTTTGGTGTAATAATGTGCAAGTTTCAAGTGGCTAAAAATTACCGTTGATTTTTTTGAATATTTTACCGAAGTTGTGTAGCGCTGCTACTGAATTTCAAAATACGTAAATATTTTAAGGAATTTTGAAAGAGCACTTAAAAGGGGAAAATTCTAAGTAAAATTGTAAATGGGGCACGAAAAATTTAGGTACTTAGGCGGGTTGGGTAAATAAGCGGGGAGGTTCTTAAGAGAGGGATTTTCTTCAGATTACATTCAAAAATTCACGGTGGCCAAAAATGTTGGTTACTTAAGCGGGTTAGGTACTTAAGCGGGGGGGTACTTAAGCGGGTTTCACTGTATATTCAGTAAACCAACATTTTAGCTTTGAGCGCTAAAACTATTTTATTTATATATTTTTTGAAATGCGATTACACTAGCATTCAACCAGCGTTGCCAGGTTGACGTTTTTAACGTAATTTGGACGTTTTTTGTATCCTGTTGACGTTCGGGCGTTTTTTGTGTAAAAAATGACGTTTTTTAACTTCTCAGTAATTTTTCTCTGTTACTAAATCTTGTAAGTAGAACTGATTTTGAATTATTTTCTTAATAAATCTTTACAAGTTTTGTCTTTTGCAGCAGCTTCTTCAAAGGATATTTATTCTTTGGACACAGATGACTTAAATATGATGCAAACCAAGCGTACGAGCATTTTTTTGGATTTTTGGCTGGTTTTGTGAACACTTGAGGTTAAGAGGCTTATTGCAATGTTTGCAATTGCACATTAAAAGCCAAATCAGGAAGAGCTGATCTAACACGCACGCTCGCAAAAGCACCAAAACAACTGTAGCAGCATAAAAAGTCAGAAAAAAGTAGGCGAATTTTTTAAGGCATCATTGAAAATGTAATGAACGCAAAAAAGGCTGAAATATTGCTATGTTCCTTCTTAGCAGAACGTAATTTAGCATTTTCGACAACCGACCACATAACCAAATTTCTACAAGAAAAAAAAAATTATTAAAAATCAACGCGATTCTTTAGCAACTTATAACTTGCATATTATTACCGTGGAATTTAATGGGCTATCAAGCTGAATACTCAAAAAAATTCTTAAAAACCTGAATAAAAAGTTGAAAATCTAGCTGAAACTTTGCAGATTTTTTTATACATTTTGCACAAAGTTTGAAATGTGGATTTATATTTATTTTGTTATATAATGAGCTAGGCTTTTATGGAAAAATAATAAACATAAAATAAACAATCGAAAAACAGCCAAAATCGATCAAAATGTTGATGACTGAATCAGCTGATCACAAGTGTATGCATAAAATGATTTTTATATTAACGATCTCAAACCAGTTTACAATGAATTGTAAATGTGATCTGTCGAAATGACATTTTAATATACCTTACATACATACTTATGTACCTTTGTATACAATAAAAGTTT